TAATACCCCTGCGTGCGACGCGCAGCAGCCACTGTTGCACCGCTCCACGCACGTGCAGCGGCCCGCTCGCCGCCCATGTGCAAGGCACCTACCCGGAGGGCTCACTATTTGAGAGGACCAATCAAAACACTTTCAAATAGAGACAGACATATTTCACAGCATGGAGATGGCAGACTGGTGATGAGGGCAGTGCCCAATTCCTATGAACCCATTCCTACACTACTCCTAGCACGCCGCTTGTGCCGCTACCAGCAAAGGCCTCCCGAGTGCCCTCCTGCACAGTAAGCACTCTACACCCTGCCTGCATCCACCTATGCCCATCACGCCGAATACTCCCATCCGTCCGTTCCCCGTAATCCCGGCTTGCTCCACAACAGCCACATCTCTTTCCCCGCTTCTAAATTCATCTTTCGGCCCTTAGAAGCGCTAAGGCATTCGTCCACTCCGGGCCTATGCAAGCAAGCAACCACCAACTCACCCAACCAATCAAAAAAACAAAGTGAAAACAAAAGGAGAAACAGAACTAAGAAACCCTAAGCAACAGCAGCATCATGGACATGCATCACCCGCAGCTCTCCGCTCAAATGCAAGACACGCGAGTGAGTGCCCCAGAAAAGAAACGAAAGGAAAAAGAAAAGTAAAAATAAAATCTTTTTCCCCCTCGCCCAGCGGCACCCACAGTGATATTCATCAACATCATCAACATCACCGGGCTTCCATCCCGTAGAATAGTAACAAAGCAAATGGCCAGGGGGGTGAGGTCCAGCCAAAAAAAATATCTGCAAACCGACAAAAAAAGCAAGCAAACAAGCAAGCCAGCACGGCGCGTCTCGCCGTTCCCTCCTATGTATTTTCCGTTTCCCTAACATCTCGTCAGCCTGCTATCGTCACAGGCATCGTCGCCGCGCAGACGGAAACAGCGGTCGTAGCAATGGCGGCAGCGGTGTGGTGGTTTTCCGTGGCGGTATGGCCGTTGTCGTGGCAGTATGGCGCTAAGGGAATTTGAGCCAGTCCGCGCAATAATCCGCGTCCCGCCGCCGCCGCCGCCCTTTCCCTGTCCCCGCCTTCCCTGTTTCCGCTCCCCCGAGAATTCAAAAATAGCGAGCGCTCATTAAAGAAAGTGGTATCGAGAAATCCGCGGCGCATCAGGGAAGTCGCTCTGTCTCCTCTCTTTTTGTTTCTCTCCACGAGATCCGGAAGCCGAAATGGGAGGAGAGGAAAAAAGACAACTCCGGGTATAAGAAAACAGACCAGAGAAAAGAAAGCTAATGATTTCCCAGTGGTGGTGACACACAAAGAAAACGCCAAGCCTCGCATCCATCATGCATGCCATGGGGTTGTCTCCCAACAAAAGCCCGTCCCAGAAATGTCTTCGCGCGGGCCTAAACAGATGCTGCAACCACCCTCCTAAACCTTTCACCCTCCCTCCATGCCCAATCCACTCGCTTTGCCCTGATGATCAACCAACCGCCGTCCAGGCACTTGTAGTCGCCCATGAGGAAAGGCGTGCCTCGTTCTCGTGCCGCCAGCCCCCCTGTATGGAGAAAAAGCTCATGCAAATCCGCAAATTCGTGCGGTTTTGCAAAATATCGCGAATACGACGGCGATAATTGTTGGTACGCTCGTTCATCTATATCCAGGAGGCGTGGAGGGGGAACTATTCGAGCTGAATCTGTGTATACGTACTACCGCGAGCGCTGTGGTCGGTTAGCACTTCTGTTATAACTGGGATCCATCTCATGCATATGGAAAGGTTGCCATGGACTTACCAAACTCGCCACCGCAGCGGCGCTCGCCAGGTCTGGCTTTCCGCTGACACTTCTCTGTGCAACTCTTGGCAGGCTAGACGTCTGACCCTGCGAACCAGTCTGCGCTCCACCCGTCGTGTTGTTGCTCGAACGTTTCATGCCGAAGTTGTTTGTCAGTCCGCTTACGGTTGACTGCCGTCTTGGCGCTGCAGCCTTTAGGGGACTGTTTCTGTTTGCCCCTTGTGCTGTCGCAGCAGCTGTACCTGAAACGCCCGTGCTTTTGGTACTGTTTCCGGGTGGTTCAGGCAAAGGCCGCGTACCGCCACGGCCGGGAGTTTGCGAGACAGTGTTGAAGCGCTTGACCGGAGATGCCGTGCTGGCACTATTGGCAGTCTGTCGGCCCATTGGAACGCGAGGCCGCTTGACACCAGTGATGAACTCATGGTACATGGCATCCTCAGGCTTGAGACGCCGGTCAGGGTCCCACCTGAGACACCTCGTGATGAAGTCGAGGAAAGCATCGTCGTTGCACTTCAGAGCCTGTTCGAGGGTCTTTGAGCTTGGACGGCGCCTGCGGCCCTTCGAAGAGACCGTGACACGCGGCTTGCCCAGCGAATCGAAGAAGAGCTTCTTGCGGGAGGATTTCTCGATGAGATGCTTCTCAGGCGGACCAAAGATCTCCATGATACAGGCGAGTTGCTCCTGCTCGTTTTCACCAGGGAAAATCGGCGAGCCTGTGAGCAACTCCGCCAGGATACATCCAAAACTCCACATGTCAATTGGCAAGCCGTAGCTCATGCCCAGGATAACTTCCGGAGAGCGGTAGAAGCGGGATTGAATGTACGTGTAGACCTTCTCGTTCTCGAAACAGCTGGAGCCGAAATCGATGACCTTGATCTCTGATTGCAGAGGATGGGCCAGCAGAATGTTTTCCGGCTTCAAATCGCAGTGGATGACCCGTTTAGTCTTAAGCAAACAGAGCGAGCTCAGGATCTGCTTAGCAAATCGACGGATCAACTTCAAGGAAAAGCCCTTGAATTCGTGCGCTTTAATGAACTCGTAAAGGTTCATGCCGAGAAGCTCGGTGGAGATGCAAAGATGACCGCGGAAGTAGAAGTGCTGCGTGAAGTTGATCATGCTGTGTTTGTTTTCCGGATCCTGTCACGAATTAGTGGTTTTGAAAGTGGATGGCTGGTGGCATAAGACTTACCCAATCACGCAGCTTTTGCAGAATGTTGACCTCAACCAGGGCCTGTTGGTGGAACCTCTTCTTGTTCCTGATGATCTTGATAGCCACGAGCTTGCCTGTCTTGTGGTCTACGCAGCGTACGACCTGACCGAAACTGCCCTTGCCAAGCACATCAACAACTTCGTATCGGTAAGCCAGATGATCTCCCAAGACGATCTGGTAATCGCCGCGATCATCGTCATATCCGAAGTTGGCCGTCGATGAATGTAAGTCTCCGATGCGCTTCTTCGCGTTTTTCGTACCGCAGAAGTAAATCTCCTTGTAGTCGATAATCTCGCCACGCTCGAAGATGTTCAATGGAACCATCTGAAGAGCATGCGCCGGTAACACCCTCTCTTGCGGCTTGGCCCGCCTGCGCAGTTCGTCCAACTCCTTGGCGGCCGCTTCGAAGTCTTTCCGCCTTGAGCCTAATCTCCTCATTTCTTCATCTGCCGCAAGATCATCCTTGTCCATATTGGGGTCTGTGTTGCGCGACTTGAGCATGCTGGTAGAATTCTTCGAGCCGAGCATCCTATGCATCATAGAGCTTGAAGCTGATCTTGTGGTGGGACCAGAAGATTGCTCATATGGAACACTAGCTGTCTTTGGCGGTCCAGCAACCTTTGATGTCCCTATTGTTTGCTCCTTTTGAGCGTCTGTGGCAAACAGTGCTCCAGAGGGCTTTCTCCGGGGTGCGTGTTCTGCGGAAGGCCGAGGCTTTACTAGCGGGCTCGGGCTTTGAGTAGAAGTAGAAGTTCCATTCCACGTCGAAGAAGGAGCAAGCTTCGGGGCAGGCATCTCGTTGTGTTTCGGCGGCTGCGGAGGCTGCTCACTAGTGGTTTGGGAATTGATGTTGCTCTGAGATGCTTGGGTTCTGTGTGAGCTCTTGGAAGAGCTTCTCTTCCAGCCCATACTCAGCTTCCGCCGCAAGGATGATCCAGAGGAGGGGGTCTCCGGTTCTGTTGACGTGGTCGACGATGCATCGTTCTTTTGCCCAACTTGGTTTGCCGGCGCACGCGGACCATTCAATCTTGTATTCTGCGGCATCTCGTCAACAGTACCAAACCGGCCCTCGCTAGCAGACCCAGACTGAGAATCATTCGTATCATCGTCGTTTTTGGGCTGAACAGGCGAGGAATATGGTGTGTTCGCAGCCCTTATACCATCTGCAGGTGTCGAAACAGGTAGCGGCATAGGTGGTGGTGGAGGGTATGAGGGAGTCTCGGTAGATCTTAGGTGGAAGTGAGAAGTGGCGCTCCGCAATTCGGGGTTGGCGGGCGTGCTCTCGCTCATTGCCTGTGAAAAGGTGGCTTTTGAGGCCGTCATAGGAGTGCTCGGCGTCTTCGTAGCCCTCTTGGGTGGCGGTGTAGTCGTCTCCCGGGGATCGACCTCCTCGTTAGGTTGACGGTACGTGGAGATCTTCGCAGTTGTCGGCGTGCTTAGGGGAAGCAGATTTAGGGGTGGCAACCTTAGCGGCTGCAAATTCTTCTTCCCTACGTTTGTAGCAGGCGCCCGCTTGTCGGCATCGGAGCTTGCTCCTACGGTCATGCCTCTTGCGCGCCGTCCAGCAATACCACCCTGTGGCTTCTTATTATCATTTGCCGGCAAGTCAGTCGCTTTCGCGGTCTTGCTGAGCGAAGGCTTGGTGGTCTCGCTATCCGTGTTGCTTCCGCCCACTGCCGCCCAATTCGCATCCTCCGCCGGTGTTGCTGGCGTTTGACGCACCGGATAGACAGGCTGGTCAATTTCAGTGTTTGGGGACTCGAACACCTTTGGAATGGCTGGTACCGGCGGGACGTCTTCCTCGGGCTCCGGGCCCGCGGAACTGTGCACGTTTCTCGACTTGGGTGTGGGCAGTCGTGAGCCCGACAGGATCTGGCTAGAACGAGCGGACGTACTGCCATTGCCCCGAAGAGAACTGAAGCTAGAGCTATTCGACAACGGCGGCGCTGGGGCGAGGGACTTGTCTGGCGTGGCTCGCGCAGATGAAGGAGTGACGCTTTTCCTAAAGACCAGGGCTGGGCTGTACGACGTGGGTAGCGGCTCCTGTTGCAAGTCTGGCTGAGGCGTAGGAGGCGTTCGCGTGGTAGTAGAGTTGGAATGCAGGGACAGGCGCTTCAACCTTCTCGCGTCGGTCGGGCTAATGGTGCGGGCACCCAAACCACCAGCGTGATGCAACGATTGCCTTTTGGATGGAGTAATTGCCCGCGGCGTTTTTGCCGGCGAACGTGTGTTGGCGCCCAACGGGTCGAAGCTCGTACCCGAAGGCTGCAGCATCGACTTTGCCTTGTTGCTCCGCATCGTGTTGTTGGAGAGACGCGGGACGTCGGACGAACTATAGCTCGGCACCAACGTCCCTCTCCTTGGCTTCGAATTCGAGCCGCTGCGGCCCAAATGGCCGTGTGAAAAGTCCCTCCGCGGCACATATGATCCAGTTCCAGCGGCGTCGGCGCCGGATAGGAGACCTGGGCCCAGCGACTTGCGAGGGCCGCGGGCGGCGGTGGCGGAGAAGGGAGCGGATTCGGGGACAGGAGCGGGCCCCGGGAACTGACTCTGGCGACGGTTGCGAGCCGACAATGGCAGTGCGGCGGGTGGAGCCATGGGGGATGGGTTCACGTCATTGCGACTAGGTTGATGGCGCGACGACGAGGTGGTGCGGCCGGCGCTGCTGGCGGCCCGGCTGCCCTGCAGCTTCCTGTCCTCGGCGGCCATGGAGGGGTTGTCGGAAGGGTCGAGGTCGTCGGGATCGAGGGAGTAGTCGGGGTGGGGAGGGTCGTGGTGCGCGAAGATGCCCCGACCGCCGCCAGGGACAGGGAAGTCGCTCAGGTCGGCCGAAGTAATGCTCTCGTGCAGGTCGTCAAAGTTGGCCGAGGGCAGGAAGTCGAAAGAGCCGGTGCTCTCGACCCGATTGGGAAGCCGGCCAAAGCTGAAGCGCGGATTGCTTCCGGTTGAGTTAGGCGGGAAGGAGTCGTCGCTCTGGGACGTTGGCAGTCGAGAGGCATTGCTGGAAGCCGCAGTGGAGCCGCTGACGATCCTGCTAAATTGTGAGCTCGAGCCGCATAGCCCTCCAAGGGTGCCCAGCAGCCATACCGTCTACCTTGATCCAGCGGGCGAGGTCCCAGAGGTGCTTTGTGCTCGCGCAGCGTCGAGCGACGGCGCCCGGCAAACGTGTTGCTGCTGCCCGGCGCCATCTGCGCGCTGCCCTTCCGCAAGGGATGGTCGTGGAATTTCCTGGGCGCTCGACCCTCTGCTGTTGCGGGCGTCAGCGCTGCTGCTTGACCGGGTGCCGGCAGGCTGCCTACCTCCAGAGCTCCCCGACTCGTCGTCTCCTGTGCGTGTTGCCATGGCGGCGAAAGGGGAACGAGGTGTGTGTGCTGTAGGCGGGTCCCAGCCCAGCGATCTCGTTGTACCCGTGAGTTGGTTGGAGTGTGTGAACCGGCCCTTCTTCCAGCTCCGAGGCGTGGAATGATCCGCTACGAGTGCGTCGACATGCTCGAGGCTGTGATGGACGGGAGCTGGCGCCGAGTAAGGGGGCAATGCCGCGGGGAGATGAGGCGGTGATCAGTCGCAGCGCTGGCGGGCAGCGGTGCCGGGGGCGACGGGGGAGAGAGGGCTGCGTGGGTGCAGAGAGTAGGCAGCAGGGCAGCAACTCTCTTTTGCGTTTACTTTCGGGCTCACGGGCTTTGGTGCCTTGGTGGAATCCTGGCCGCGCCAAGGATTGCTCTGATTGCCAAAACAGTGAGAGGCCCAGCCCGTTTCCGCGGGTAACGGTGATGATGATCCATCGCCAACACCACACCAAGTCACCCGCTATAGCCCTTGTCCCTGCTACCAAATACCACACTAAACCCGAACACATGCAATCATGGACCCTCGTGCGTCCTCCTCCTCCTCAATCCCCATCGTCACTCTCTCCGCACCCCACGACGATGGCCCCTCTGGCTCCGGCTCTGGCTCTCACTCGCCCTCGCCTTCGCCTTCCGAAAAGGGCCGTCGCCGCTCGCGGCGCGATGCTCTCAGACACAGCTTCTCCGGCGAACGGCTCAAAGAGAAACTCGAAGACTTTGCCAGCCACAAGCCCGACGCCAGCTCGGGTAAACCGCACGACCGGTTGTTGAACATGTGCGCGCGGCCATTTCGTTTGTGTTTCACCTCGCCTGAGCTGATTTTAATTACCCCAGGCTGCTACAGCAGATGATTCCTACCGAGGGCGCGGATGACGACCAGCGCCCCAAGGATAGACGCTCGAGGAAATATGTCGAGCGCCCGGGCTTCAGCATCCCCGCCATGTCGGCCAATTTCCGCCGTTTCAACGCTAGAATCGGTGTCGTCTTCGTCTTTCAGAACCGAATTATCAGGTTGTTCTCATGGAAAGATCCTACTCACACCCTGTCCTTCCTAGCCATCTACTCCTTTGTCTGCCTCGATCCCAACCTGCTGGCCGTCCTGCCATTAGCAGCATGTCTGTTCTTCGTCATGGTGCCCTCCTTTCTTGCTAGACATCCACCTCCTCCCTCCCATTTACCAACCGACCGTCAGCCTTTGCACGGTCCACCTATCGCTCCCCCACAGAACATCAAACCCGCGCCGGAGTTTAGCAAGGACTTCTGGCGTAACATGCGCGATCTCCAGAACAGTATGGAAGATTTCAGCAAACTGCATGATACTGCCGTTGCTATGATTGCTCCGCCGACAAACTTCTCGAACGAATCGCTCTCTACCGCCATCTACCTACTCATTTTCGTCACTTCTTGCGCCCTCTTCATTGCTGCCCATCTGCTCCCTTGGCGGCTTGTTGCCCTAGTGGCAGGCTGGGTTGCCGTTGGCTCTTTGCATCCCAAGGCACAAGCTTTCCTTGAGAGCTTGCATGTCGATTCGTTCGTCCAAGAGCAGAGCGAGGTCGCCAATTCCTGGCTCAATGCCTTTGCGAACAGCGACATCGATCTCAGCCGGGCACCGGAGCAACGTGAAGTCGAAGTCTTCGAGTTGCAGCGTCGCGCCAACTCTGCTCCGGATGCCGAGTTTGAGCCGTTCCTGTTCAGCAACAGCTCGTACACGCCGTTGAGTCCGACGCGTATCGCAGGTGATCGGCCGCGGGGGACACGCTTCTTTGAAGACGTACAACCCCCGCGCGGCTGGCGGTGGGCGGACAAGAAGTGGGTGCTAGATCTGATGAGCCGAGAATGGGTCGAGGATCGGTGCGTGACGGGTGTCGAAGTGGAAGTCGAGGGGGAGAGGTGGGTGAGTGACATCCACTACGAGACGGAAGTGATTATCAACGAAGAGATGCCGAGTAGCCCTGCACAAAGCCCCACGTTTGGCGGCCCGGCGAGGAACGCGGCCAAAAGCTGGGAAGAGAGCAACGGGTTGAGCAGGAAGGGTATGTGGCGCAGGAGGAGGTGGGTAAGGCTCGTGGAAAGGCGCCCCATTCCTCCACCTGAAGACGTCTATATGAGTTCCGGTGGCAACATCACCGGGCCATTCTAGAAGCTGAGAGCTCCTTCCTGCTTATGATATTACTGGAGACGCCTCGAGGAGGGCGTCTACGTCGACGATGCCTCTATACTCTGCTAGGCATTTTTGTCTAATACTGACCCAACAACCAAACCTCCTAATCGGCCATGGCCATAGACCACACTTCAGGATCCGACGCCTCGCTCTCGATTATGAACAAAGAAAGTGGCTCAAGTACGAGTATGCAACAGTATTGAGCGCACACATGTATAAATGAATGTTCTTATAAACTTAACAATTCGGCTTGAAATAACATACACTAAAGTAAACCGTACAATTAAACTCAAAACGTCCATCACCGCGAACCGAGATGCACCGTCTAGCGAGACAGGGGGCGATACAAGCAGGCCCTACAGAGCACTCTTTGCCCAGCTCCCAGCCCGCGTCCTAGGTATGGGTGAAAAGGTCTTAGAGCACACATACCTAGACTCAGCATATCCTATCTAGGTGTCTTCTTCTACTCCATGCAATTGTCTCCATCGAGCTTCGTGGTACATCTCGCTTCATGCATGGTGACGGTCGTTACTCCTAGCTTACGTGAAAGTAAACCGTACAATTAAACAAACTCATTCACTCGCTGGCTCCAATCGCAATTTTAAGATGGCACTGAAAACATGCACACGCCGCGACTACTTCGAATAGGGAACCGTCCTAAACAATCATTGCCAGAAGGGAGCAAGCTGTAGCTAAACCTCAAGAGTATTCACAACATCTCTCTTCACAACCAGCAACCCACCGCCCAGCCAGACACATACACTTCCAAACGCCACCTAACAGTCTTGTCTTGTCTTGCATTGCAGATAGACTAGCACAAATATCAAACATCAAATCATTAAGCCTAGTCTTGGCCTTGTCCGCAATCCCTCCTCGCGCAGACCTAGCCGCCAGCCCCAGAGCCATGTAATGTATCCTCCTTTCTCTATCCCGATAAATCATGAGTGACTACTTGTACGTCCATGCCATGGCGCACAATGCTAACCCCAATCCCGCTTCCCCAATGCAAAGGAAGGGACAGGACAGCCAAATGCCAACCCAGATCAGTGCCTCCAGCCACGGGGAACAACGAACAATGCCCTTTTTCTCTTTCTTTCCGCGCTCGGACGACTTCTCCTTGCCCAACCGTCCTCTAATGCCCATCCGCAGGGGCAACAGCACAGTAGGTATCACAGGCGCCGTAGCACAGCAAAGAGCCGCGCCTTTAGCCGCAGCCGGTATGGCGCGGGCACCTCGGCGCCCCGCCGACGGCACTCTTGTGCGCTCCTCCACTGCCGCCGTCTTTGCCCGCGCAGCCGCGCGTTTTACGTCTCTTCCGAGCGTGGCGAGTCCGCATGCGCGCAGGTACGTCCAGTGCTTTTGCACGCCCTGGGCGATAGTTGAGAAGATGTAGAAGCTAGAGGCGCTGGTTCCTTGCCTGACTTGGGTACAGTGGCGAGCCCGGCGTCGTTGGCGGGTGTGTCGAAGCGGGGGTAGGCGCACTGGATTCGATCGCCCTGTCTTCAAAACACCGTGCAGCTCCTCCCTCAGAGCAACAGCTCCCGCGCCAGTACCAAGCCTACTCATCCCCAGACAGGGAGCGCGAGCGCCGTCTCTTGTGTTTTATGTCCTCGTCCTCAACCTCGCCGCTCTCCTCGCGCTCACGCTCACGCTCCTCCCCATCCTCGCGATCCCTCTGCATATCCCCCTCCTCATCATCATCATCGAGCATCTCCACCTCCTCGCCCAACGGACTGACCCTCGGATCCAACAACTCCAAATCCTCGAGCAGCGCGCGCGACGGCATCTTCCACAAGCTGGTCGCGCACACGCGGTCCTTAGTCAACAGGTCATCGACAAACTGGTCCATGTACGTGAGCACGAAGCCGTCGCGCATGCGGCGCTTCAGCTTGCGGTAGTCGGCCAGCAGCGGCTCCAGCGTCGTGAAGATCTCGACCGGCTCCCAGGCGAGTCGGATGTAGAAGGCGGCGAGCGCGCGCAGGTACTTGAACTCGCCCTTTACGGACTTTTCGTCTTCCCTTCCCTCCGCTCCTCCTTCCTCCTCTTTTTGTTCCCCTTCTTCTCCTTCCTCACCCTCCTCATCACCCGGCCAATTCAAATACGCCAACACGATCTCTTTCTCCGGCACCAACGTAAGCAGTTTAAACGCCAAGCACAGAAACGGCGTCGGCTTGCCCTGCCCGCCGTACGTCCCGCCGATGAAGCCCAGCTCCAGCGCCCGGTCGCACAGCGTCGCCGCGTTCAGCCCGAAACACTGCTCTTTCCAGTAGTACGACTCTGTGATGCGATCGCGCACGGCTTTCTCGAAGAGGAGGGCTGGGTTCTGCCCTTTGATTGTTGCGCCGCTGTAGCCCCGCTCGTCGAGCGCGGCTTTGGCGTCTGCTTGGTGCGCTGCCATTGGGGGTGGGCGTGTGCGTGTGTTGTTGTGTGTGTGGGGGAAGTGCGTGGAGAGGTCGGGTGGTGGGTGGTTCGCTGATGTGCGGGTGGACGTGGGTTGCGCGGCTGGCACGGCCGAGTGAGAGGTGATGCGGGAGTAGGTCGCGCGTATTCGAGGTTGTGGTCAAGTGTCCGTAGGAGTAGGTTAGGTAGGTAGCGGCGCGCAAGCTCGACCGCCGAGGTGCTGCTGCTGCTGCCCCGGAAAAATTGACGGGTGTAACTGGTGGCCCGAGCGTCAAGCCGTGATGGACCCCCACACCAATAACGCCGCGCTATCTAAACCCTTCCTTTCCGCTCTCACCACTCGCCCGTGTCTTCGCGCGCGACTCTCATCTAAGTCTTCGTGATACGCCCAATCACCCAAAACACAACAGGCCCAAGCAACTGCGGCGCTCCTCGCCGGGCTCCAAGCCCTCAAGCTGGTCCTCCCACCGCCGACACACGTCGAGAAAGCGCTCCAGCTCGTCCGTGACGACGCCGTCCAGCGCGTGCGTAATGGCCCACCGCATCCAGGATTCGCGGTTGACGGTCCAGGCGTAAACGGGGCGGCGCAGGCTGCGCGCTTTGCGCCGGAACGCCGCGCCCAGCGGGCCCATGAGCATCGGGAGGAACATGTTGAAGCTGGCGTATGGCGTGCGCAGGAACGGGCACGTGTTGAGCGGCGAGACGGTGATGTGCGTGATGGGGAACGTGGGGAGGTGTGTCGAGATGGGGCCGAGGTATTTGGCCTGTGAGCATGGCGTTAGCCGGGGTAACTGTGCGCTGCCTGGGGATGGCTGCGGTAGATGTCGTGTCGAGGGAGGCCGGGGTCACGTACAGCCCAGGCGCCTATCACGATGCGCTGGTTCCAAGGCCTCTCCGGGCTCGCCGGCACGGCCGCAATCGTCTCCGCAATGAGGCGCATCACCTGGTCCAGGTTGTTGTCCTTTTTGATATCCAGCAGCACCCAGATGTGCTCCAAGCCCGGCTGGGCCAGATACGCGAGCAAGTCCGTCAGCCGCGCCATCGGGGCATGGGGCTCCTCGAGCGTGCGCAGCGTCGCGACGTACTCCCAGTCGCAGTCGAGGACCTTCTCGGGGCGCCCGAAGCAGCGCTTCAGCGTCGCGTCGTGCGAGAGCACCACGACGCCGTCGCGCGTCAGGTGCACATCCGTCTCCACGGCGTGCGCGCCCACCTCGACCGCCCCGGTGAATGCGGCCATACTGTTCTCGGGGTACTTGGCTTTGTAGCCGCGGTGTGCGATGGCTTGCGGTAGCGGCCGGCCATGCTTCGTGTCGTAGCGCGCGAGCGTAAAGGTTGCTGGTGTTTGACGTCAGCGAGGGCGCTGTATAAGTAGATATACGGATGCGGCGGTTGTGGGAGCACACCCCAGACGTGGTGTTGTGGGTGTAGGTGCTGCTGCTGGCGCTGCTGCTCGCGCTGTGGATACGTACGGTTAGGGAAGGTTTCGCTCTTCGGCAGCAGCTGTTGCTGCTCCATGGTGACTTTCTCCGGACCGGCCTGGAATGAGGTGTTGATTCCAGCAGCCTGGGCGCTGCGGAAGGCGGACGACCTCTCGACGTCTACGTAACCTCGGTCCATGCTGAAGATATTCCCGCCGGTGGGTACGCAGCGAAACAGGGGCCGGCCCGTGGCAGGCCTGGTGAACCAGAGCGGAAGGAGTGGCTGCTTCTCCACAGCTGGACGCTACACGTATTATCAAAGCTCAGACGAGATCCGCCGAGGAGATCTTGTCCGGGGAAAGAAAAGGGAAAAGGGCGCTGCTGCGGGTAGAGGAAGGAGACGGCACGCTGACTACGACTACCTACAGACAAGACTCGAGGTCGACGACAGAGCTGCTGCTATCCCATGCAGGCTGCAGCTTGGAGGTTCTCCCAGTTGTCAGGTGTAACTCTATCCCGGCCCAGACCGCCGCCGTCGCGCAGATCCCGCGAACCAGATGTCAGATGCCGTAATATCTGCAGGGCTCGGCGGGCTTGGCTGCTGCCCGAAACCGCAATTGTCTTTGGTGGCTGTTGGCGTCGACCACTGAGACGCGGCGTGCGTCACTCTCGCGCTAACTTAATTTTCAAGCATAAAAGGCGCTCGGGGCGAGCGCGAACTACAGCGCCGCCGGACTTGCGGAGATGGCGGAGATGGCGGAGATGACCTTGCAAAGGGCCTCCTCCCTCCATCCCTCCCAAAGCCAAGAAGCTCCGACACCGACATCCACCCCTTCCTCCCACGCGGCCCGCTCCTGCCTGCCTGTGCAGATCTCGGCTCCCGACCACCCGCAATTTCGGTTCCGGCACGTAGTACACTCCGTCAGGTACCTACCTAGCAACGGACCTGTTCTCGCCGACTCCGACTCTCTCCCTCGCTTTCGTATACACGCTACTTTTAGACCCGCCGGACATTGCGCTTGCAACCTCTCATTTCCCCCAGGATACGACATCGCTACTCGTGCTCGGCAACTGCTTGCCGCCGCGGACTCGCGGCATCCTGCTAGTTGCTGCTAGAGTAGCCGAATGCTCCGACATCCGGTTAGTCTGGGCGACATCCTTGCTCACTTACTCACGATTTGAAATATCAACTCGTTGGCAAACCCATCTTTCCATGTCATTGATTCAGTGTTTTCGCTCCTCGAGTCACAAGCTTGTAGGGATAAGCGAGACCAACCGGACCAGCCGATGCTTGAACCCTGTCTGCGCTGAATCTGTATACACCTGCCTCTAGGCTTGTCGCCGAGTACCGGTAGCAAGTAGAGTAGTTCTTTGAGGACACGACAAGACCCCGGCTCTTCTTGACGCGGTCTGGTGCACAAGCAGAAGTAAGGTGGAATGGACGAGTGACATTCTTCGGAGCCTCTTCCTGCCCGTTTCTTCCATGTGACTAGGTATCCAATCACGTTAGCGCCTTTCAGCCAAACATCACCTCTTACATCGACAGGCGACAGGATTGATTGATACAACACATATTGTAGTTTGCGCAGTAAGATTGAGTGTACATTGTTTTGGGTCAGTGTATGTTCACAATCATTATGAGGCGCAGAGTCAAAAGCAATTTGCCGAGGTTGCATATTGCCCACTACTAAAGTATCCTAGTCATACTAGTTAGAGCAGCTACAGCTGTGAGCATAGCTTACTCCAAGCCCTCACTTTCCATCGTTGAAGTCGTTGGACCAGATCTTCAGCTTCATAGACCAGACCATAGACAAGTTTTTGGTTCCTCCCAACCTTACGTCTTGGTCTTGTTGTTCACAATGTCGTCAATCTCCTGTTGGAGTACAGCAAGCTTTCTCTTCATCGGTTCGATCTTGTTGATCTTCGTGGCCACGGATGTGTCGTTGTCTGTCGTGCGTGGCTCCTCGATGGGAGGGCAGCTAGCTTTCAGCTGGATTATCTCCCTGAGCTTCTTGTTTTCGGCCTCAAGCTCGGATATGCGCTGCTCTGCGTGCTTGCTCTTGGATTTCTCCGACTCCAACCGGTTTACCATTGACTTCGTACTGGCCTCAAACTGCTTTGACATGCCATTGACCATGCTGACCTTGGCCTCTGACTCCTTGTTCTTGTGCAGCTTTTCTTTTTCCAGGTCACGGATTTTAGACGCCAAGTCGGTAGTGAGCGCCTGTAAAGCTTTAGTGGATTTGGCGCCCTCGTCAGCCTTGCGACTTAGGAGCTTGTTGTCGGCCCTGAATGCTTCAATCTCTCCGCGGAGTAGACCAATCTGAAGTGTCATATGCGAGACAGTGCTATTCAAAGCCATTATGGTATTGTCACGGAGCGTGATTGTATTGCATAATTGTTGCTCACGGCCTAAGTGTTTAGCATCTACGTTCATGTTTTCCCCCTGATAGTTTGATACTTACTCATGTATAGAAGAGCCTGGTCTCTGGTTGCCTTTTGATGCATTATGGAGAGGACTTTTTCTTTCTCGAGCCTGTTCGCTGTAGCTTCTGTCATGAAAGTCGTAGTCGTCTTGTAGAGATCGTTAAACTGGTGCCGAGCCATGTCTACGATTTCGCTTCGCTCTTCTTCAGAGTATGTGGAGACATTTTCGAAAGCCTCTTGAATGAGTTCGAAGATTGAAGCACCATTGTTATGCAATGAGCCTGCCACCTCAAGGAAGGCAGCCGCTTGGTTCTCCATGTCATGCTCTAAATGCATTCCTCCTTTGGCGCCAGGGTGAAGAACCGCCGCAGTCTGAGGTGGAGTCTTTTGTCTGTAGTTGAAGTGACCCTGCGTCGGCGTCATGGGGTGAAGGATTACGGCAGTCTGAGGTGGAGTCCTGTATTGGTAGTTGTTGAAGTCGCCCTGCGTCGGCACCAAGGCGTACTTGTTCGAAGACATGATAGCGTTTCGGAAGTGACAATACTATCAAGCACTGATAGACTAGTGTACTGTGTCTAGAGATGAGAGATCATCGTCGAATCTTTGATCTGATACGATTCAGATGCAATGTGAGCCTGTAAAGAGACCGAGGAGCCGCGTCAGTCTCGAGAAAGCCCAGATATTTTGTCGGTGGGAGCTTAGGCTGGATTGAGTGGCAGTGACAGTGATAGGATTACGTTGGCTGACGATGGCTCTGTCTGAAAGGTACAGCAAGAGTGTGGCTTGGAGTGAGCTTGTCTGCTGTAGCTTGACGTCTCTGCCGAAGCTTCCTGAGCCTTGGCGGGTAATTTGGTGGGGAGAGACGTTGGGTGCGACGACGTTGGGTGCGACGACGTTGGGTGCGACAGTGGGTTGGTGTTGTGTGCTTGTGTGCTTGACAAGGCCCAGACGCAGGCCCGAGAACTTCAGGTACCTACCTACTGCCTACTGTAGTATAGTACTTTCCTCTTTTGGAAGCCAGGAAAGAGCGACTGGCAGGACACACACGCGGCACCTCACTTCACCTTTGTTGCTTCTAATGATTAGCAGTGTATATCATTGGCGTGCCCTGCAGTTATTGGGTGATCTGCAAAGGTGTTCAGCCCAACAGTTGCGATTTCCCCAAGGCTTTGATTGCTTCCAAGGGCGTTGGAAATGGGGTTGGGGACCAACCAACAAGCTCGTGTACGGAGTATGCGCAACGTGCAACGTATATCTCATTCAACCAACGGCACGTAACGTAGCACACGAGATTTCCATAGCAGCACCAACACTCGTGGGGGCCATTGATGCAAAGATGGCATGAAGTCATGGACCACGTGGGCAGGTTCTCGCGTATCTAGCTAACAAAGAGGCGTGCACAAAGGCTGGGAGGAGGAAAAAACATGGCAACGGCCCAATGCAGCAACAGGTCCTTAGGATCGACATTAACGAAGATCAACACGCGAAGAGCATGGCCCTTCAATATCCGATGGGAGGTGGGGGGCTCGTGGTGGTGTGGCGGGCGGGCGGGTGAGGGATCCAGGATTCAGAGGTGCACATCGAGTTACTGCACTGAGCAAATTCCAGTGGAAGAGAGGACGCACGCCCTTCCAGAAACGCGGCGTCCAAGGCCTTCTGCAGGCCAGGACCCCTGGCAGCCGTTGAGCTAGGGTCGTCGCGTGCTGCGCTTGAGCAAATGTCGGGCCTGACTCGTAGGATTGGCGAGGCGTCGGCCGGCGGGCACATCGTCGTTCCTCGCGCTGCAAGGGCGGCCGGCGCATGAGGGGCCAAACCTGGCGTGCGGCTTGCCGACCCCTTGCTGTCGAGCTGGATGCATCGGGCGACGGCTGATGAAATGCCTCAGCGGCGCAGCTGAGCCGCCTCGCCGGGTCGTAGGTTTCTGATCATTCGCCAATCCGCTTTGCTGAAACTGCGGGCGGGCCGGAAGGGCATTCCGCCGCCAGTTGGGTGGCTCATGCCTGCTGCGGGGGGCTGATATATGTAATACCGAAGAAGGGCGCTTTTTTGCTAGCAACGTCGCGCGCTGCTGTGCGGGCCTTGACTGCCCTCCATTGCGCGCTTCCTTCGTCTGTTTCATGCGTGCAACACTGTCGCAGAGACACCAATCTCGCCAACGGCAGGGAACAGGGATCCGCCCGCGCTCGACCGTTGTCTGATTCAGTGGCTCCGCCATCCTATCTAGGGGTCTTATTGTTCTCTCTGCCCTATTGTCGGGTTGGCCAGTCCGTCTCTCAGGTAATTGACGCCTTTTTTTTTGCTCCAGCAATCGCTTTGCTTTGTCACGTACCACCGCGCATAGTCTCTGACAAGCTCCTGCAGCTCTCCTCCCCCCCCCCCTCGCCACCGCCGCTCACTTGACCTTCATTCACCGTGTCGCTCTTTAGCTGCTTCGACGCCTTCATGGCACCCGGAATCATGTGTTTCGGTAAAAAACCCGATGACCCCGGTCATAAGAAGAATGAAGAGATAGATCGCCAGCTCCGCATGGACAGGAAGAGACAGGAGAGGGAGGTCAAGCTGCTGCTGCTGGGTACGACATCCTTGCCCGCCCGCACGCCCGCCCTTATGCTGACCCTAACCCACCAGGTGCCGGCGAGAGCGGCAAGTCGACCGTGTTGAAGCAAATGCGCGTCATTCACGCCGGTGGCTTCTCCAAGGCCGAGCGGAAGCAGTGGCGCGTCGTCATCTTCAACAACCTGGTCAACGCATTCGAGATTGTCTTCAGTGCGATGCAGGAGCAGGGAATCAGCTTCGAATCCGAAGATGGCACCGTATGCGCTTCCCCGTCGCCCATATTGCTTTTCCCAACTGACACTCCGTCGCCAGCGATACGCCGAGCTCATCAGTCGCGAGCCCGAAATTGGTCCCGAGGATGTCATGCCCAAGGATTGTCTCGAGGCCTTCCAGTCGCTCTGGGAGGACAAGAACGTGCAGCTGGCCATCCTGAAGGGCAACGAGTACGCACTGCACGACAACCTCAGCTATTACTTCCTAGATGTCGAGCGCCTCTTCGCCAAGGACTATCTTCCTACCGATCAGGACATCCTGCGCACCCGCCTGAGGACGACCGGTATCAGCGAGACCGTCTTCGATCTCGGCAACCTTACATATCGCATGTTTGACGTCGGTGGCCAACGCTCTGAGCGGAAGAAGTGGATTCACGTGTTCGACAACGTGCAAGTGGTTTTGTTCTTGGTCGCCATTAGCGGTTACGACCATGTGTTGGTGGAGGATAGGAATGGGGTATGTCGCCTGCTGCTCGTGGTCCAGCTTATCAGATGCTTACTTTTGACAGAACCAAATGCATGAAGCGCTCATGCTTTTCGAGTCCATTTCAAACTCTAAGTACTTCGAGAAGTCGGCTCTCATTCTCTTCCTCAACAAGGTCGATCTCTTCCGCGAGAAGCTCACGGCGGGCCACAGCCCGATTAACAAGCACTTCCCGGACTACTACGGAAAGCCCAACGACATTGAGGCCGGCCAGGAGTTCTTCGCAAACAAGTTTAGGAACCTCGTCCGACAACCGAAGAAGGAAGTCTACGTTCACTATACGACGGCCACGGACACGGATCTCCTCAAGAAGACGATGGCATCGGTGCAGGACATGATTGTTCAGCGGAACCTGAATGCGCTGATACTATGAAGAGATGGCAGCTGATTCCCTGGGGTGGTTGCGTGACGATTCCCCTTCGTTTTTTTGAGATTTCGCCTTTTATACGTTCGATAACCGTGTTGTTTGTACAGCATTTGAAGGATACCTTGGCTTGGAGATTTTTATTTTAAAAGGCAGCGTTTGGTTTCTCTCTTTTGCACGCAGGTTCCCGCAAGCGCATGGCCGCGTAATTTTTTTCCTCGAGTTTTATCACTGATCACACTGGACGAATAACGGCCGGATGTCATCTTCACCATAGAGGAGGGTTCTTCTTTGTTAATGGCAATTCACACTTAATTTGCAATCACATGAGGTTGAGGTGATGTGACCCATGGCCGAAGACGCGTGACGTCGCACGTGAGGTTCGTCAACGGCCCCCGTCCGGCCGAGGTTGGCCCGCTCTTTCCCGAATGCAGGCCTGGAGCCGCCTGGCTTTCATCACCATCTACAGCACCTACACCCTGTCTGCCCGACCCTCGACTGTCGAGCAGCAGTCATGTTCTCTCCTTCGCTGGGTCGTGTGGCCCGCGCGACCGTAGCCCTCCCCTCGTCCTCGTGCGCCATCAGCTCCCGCCCCGCGGCCGCCTTGACCTCCGCAAACTACCTGCTTACGCGCCGCACCCAGCAGAGGCGCAACTCGAGCACCTCATGCCCTCCGGATAACTCGAAGCCCTCGGGCGCGTCCCATGGTAATGCCTCCAAGGAGTCTGGGAAGAAGGCCGCTACTCGCTCAAGGAGCAAAAAGAATGCTACGCCTCAAGTCAACCCGCCGAGCGTTCCTCCGACCAACCACCTCCAAGATACCGGTGCGTTTGCGCCGGACTGCTTTGCAGGGAATGATTCATAGATAGCTGACTGCGTCGTAGACGTCGCCCTTTCCTCCTTCTTCTCCGTCCACCGCCCCATCTCCGTCACCACACCGATACCCGTTTCTTCCTCGGAAGCGACTTTCAACTCGCTATTTGACGTCTACACGCAGAGCAAGCCGAACAAGTATGCGGACGTCATCCAAACGCTGGGTAATGCCACGAGGGGGATTGAGGGCCGTGCTCAGGCCATGGAGGAGGCCGATCTGCGGGCGGAGATCCTGCAGAACCAGCAGGGCAGCGCGCCCTCCAACCGTACACTTTCACTGCAAGAAGTTCTCTCGCACCTGCCGCCCTTCAAGGCCCCTCCGCCGCCGGTGCCCAGCAGCTTGATGCAGCCCGCAAAGCCCCAGGCTGTCAAAGCCCCGCAGGAGGCGCAGCAGAAGACCATCGTGCAGAAGCCGACGAAGAAAGTCTGGCGCTCCACTCTAACTCTCACTGAGTTGACCGACGAGACTGGCCACTCGACCTTCTCTGCGGCCACCACGCCCATGGTGCGCCTGCCCACCCGCGGCTCCGACGCCATCGAGAATCCTGCGGAGGAGATCACGATCCACCAGCCCTTCCTCGAGCGCATGGAGATACGCGAGCAGGAGTGGAGGAAGTACCTCGACGAACGTGCACAGAACAAGGGCAAGACCATGCACGCCATCAGTGTCAAGAGACAGAGGAAGCTGAAGATGAAGAAGCACAAGTATAAGAAGCTGTTGAAGAGGACGAGGAACGAGCGTCGTAGGTTGGGTCAGCTTTAAGTGAGGATATTCTTATTCTCTGTATCCAAACCCACGCCTCTGTTTATCCATCTCTTTTTGCATCTCCAGGCCCTGTTGGCCATGACGGCGCAGCGCCTATCTAGGCTCGCCGTCTGTCTCTTTTTGGATTGTTGGCGTCTGCATACGTAGAACAAGTACTCTGTATTCTCGCACTGCATATCGGACTGATAGGAATGAAATGGTTTTTGAACAACAGGAGCAGCAGCATCATCAGCATCAGCAACAGCAATAACAGCATAGCAGCATAGCAGCACGCAAACGCTCCAGCTAGCTCGCCATCAGCCCTACACGCTCCCTCCCCCTCCAGCAAACCCCAAAACAGGCCCCCACGCCCGGCCCCAAACGCCTTCGCCGCCCCCACCCTATAACCCGGCTCATTATACTACAAGATAGGCACGCACAAGGGGGTGCGTCCTCGAACAGCGAACGAACCCTTACCCGCCCAACACGCCACGCCATCCTTGCCGCCACGCGCTCTCGGCCCCCGCACCCTCCCTGGTCCCCGGCTGGCTTCCGCTTCCTTCCCGCCTCATCTCATCTCATCTCTGCTTTCCCCCTGTACGTGAACCCCCCCCCCTGTACAGCCACAGCCGCGCTTTTGCTTTCTTGGGCGAGGGGCGGAGGATTCGGCGTTTCGGCCCCTCCCGTTGAAACCCTAGTACCCTGGTTTGCTGTCCGCCCCCAATGCTGTGCTGCTGTGGGGGTGGCTATACAATATACGGAGTACTGCTACTGCTATTGTGTTGGATAGTGTTGTATAGGCGGCTGTGCTGGGTGGGTGTCTGTGCGTTGCTCGAGCTGGCCGCCCCCAGTATGGTGCGTATTGTATAGGGTGCGCGCTGCTGACGGAACGGGGCGTTGGGGCTCGCGCGCGCGTGCGTGCTGAGCTGGGCGGTATGGGTCTGCGTTTGGGGGCGGGTCGCTCTCTGGTGGGGCTGGTGTAGATGCTGGTATGGCTTACGACGTGCACGGGCTACGAGCTGCGTGCTGGACGCGTGCAGCTGCGAACGGGGCTTGGGGGTGTGTGCTATGTGGGTGGAGTTGCGGGTGTGCTTCGTTATGGGGAAAAGGAAGGGGATGGGGATGGTGGGCCGTGGGCTGTAGGCTGTGGTTTTGCTGGCGTGCTTGGGTGTCTGTACCTATAGAGGGATGGATGAGCTAATGGACGGCTGCCTCTCCGTGTCCGCCCATGTCTGTCCGTGCAACAGGGGCGCACCCGCTCCTGCACCGCCAGCAGCACACGATCACGAACGCCTCACTCACCCACTTTCTGGCAGCTCGCGCCCGCTGCGCCGCGTAATGAGCAGTAGCTAGCTGTGCCTGTGCCTGCCCGCAGCGCAGCCCGCCACGTCCTGCACTCAGGCCCATACAGTACAGTGCTCGCGGCCGCAAGCGCCGCAGCGTGGTGCATTGAGTACGGAGCGCGGTGGGCGCGGACAGGTGGTGGTGTTGTGGGTGGCGAGCTGACTGGAGGGTGGGGAGTGGGGAGTGCGTCGTTAGTGCAGAGATGGGAAGGAAGGCGCCCGTGGGGGAAGTGGAGGAAGTGTGGAGAGACGAGAGAGGAAGAGATAGATGGGGTAGAGGGAGGAGAGAAGAAGGGTGTGCTGTGCTGTAGATTGCTTGGACTACAGCCAGCCACCGCAAGCACTTCGGTAGGTAGAAACCAGAGCAAAGCAAAGAAAAGTTAACTCAACCCAACCCAACCACCCACCACAGGAGCAAGCATCCCCCGCACCAGCCTACCGAATACTCCTAACCAACTCCCTCAAATCGCCGCCCTCAACCCACTCGACGCCCTGGCCACCACCCGGGCCGCCCAAGCCACCCAAGCCGCCCGCGTTCGCGCCAGCAACCACGCCCCAGCCCTCGCCCAGCTCGCCGACGACGCGCGCCGGCCGCCCGCCCACGACCGAGTTGGAGGGAATCACCATGTTTGCGGGCACGACGCTGTGGGGGAGCACTTTGACGTTGTCGCGGATGATGCAGAAGGGCTCGAGCACGCATTGCTCGCCGACGTGCACGTGGCTGCTTATGCTGGCTGCGGAGATGTGCGAGTTGGGTCCTGGGGGGTTGGGGTTAGTGTTTGTGTGTGTGTGTGTGTGTGTGTGGAGGATAAGGGAGAGGATGCAAAGCAGAAAGAAAGAAGCGGAGGAAATGGCAGCAGCAGCAGCAGCAGAGGCAACCACACCTACATACCAATAAAGACATTATCACCAATCTTCATCGGGTAATAGTTCAACTGGCCCCGACTAATCCTGGCCGGGGGCTTAATGACGCAGCCGGTGCTGACAACCGTGCACTTCCCGATGCTGATAGCGGTGGCAGCAGACGCAGCGGCCGGCGGCGCCCCGCCTCCGCTGCTGCTGGGCGTCTCGCTCTTGAAGCGGTGCAGGTCGCCGCGCAGGTGCACGTCGGCCATGATGACCGTCTTGCCGCCGAGCGTGATGTTCGCGGTGCCGCTGATGTGCGCGCGGCGGCTCACTTTGTTGCCGCTGTCCTGTGGGGTGGGGGGTTAGTGCGTGTGTGCGTGGGAGGGGATGGTGGGGGAGGGGGAGGTGGTGACGGCGGAGAGAGGAGAGTAGAGGGAGAGAGAAAGACAGCAATCAAAGACGCAAAAAAAAAAAAAAAAAAAAAAAAAAAAACCACACATACCGTCTCAATATACTCCCCCTTAGGCACCTTCCTCGCAGCCGCCTGTCTCGACATCTTCACCTAGCGGTATGGTAGAACCCCTCCTACCCACTCAACTCAACTCACTCACAACACGCTTTAAACACTTTCGGTGCTTCGGCTTGGGGTTCGTTTTGCGTCGGTAGCACGGCACGCCGCTTGCGGGCTGTGGGCTGTGTGGGCAAAATGAGGTTGATGTTGATGTTGGTGTTGGACCGTTGGTGGATGATGGACGCGCTCGGCCCGGCGCTGCTTTGTTGTCGCGCTCCCGCCGGCGCGGATGCCGCGCCCGCCCACGTGATCAATAACTAAGTATCTTTGGCAACTGGCCGTCTCATGGATAACCTACATGCCTAAGTCTTGTTTTCGCTGCGCTACCTATTCAACGCGCTTTTAACCTCCCTCATTTCAACACCGCTTCCTTCCATGCATGCATCCACACATATACACAAGATATATACACCACCACACACACACACACACACACACACACATACACACACACACACACAAACCCGCACCCTACGCCTCCCCCGGCCAAACCTCATCCGCGACCTGCCTCACCAATTGCATCTTCCTCGCCATGCCCTCCCGATCAATCAGATTGCCCTGCGCATGGCTCGCAAACCCGCACTGGGGGCTCACACCCAAGCGGCCCAGCGCCTCCTCACGGGTCTGGCCACTGCCCTTGGCGACCACGTCCGCGGCCGCGTACACGCGCTTCTTCATCTCGTCCTTGTCCTCCAGCTCCGGGAACTTGGACGTCACGATGCCGAGAATCACGTTTTTGTGCGTGGGCAGGTGCGCCAGCGGCTCGAAACCCCCCGCTCGTGCCGTGTCGTACTCCAGGTAGTAGGTCGACATGTTGAGTTCTTGGAAGAGCTTGGTTGCGATGCGGTCGTAGCCGCCTTCGGAGAAGTGGCGCGAGCCGACGAAGTTGCCTGCGTGGGGGTGCGGGGCGTTAGTTGGTGCTTCCTAACCTGGTGGTGG